TAACTTTATATTAATTTTTAAAACTTGCAGATGTTGCAATCTGTACATATGGGAATAGTGCCAAATGTTATGATGACAGAAAAGAGTTATATTGGCGAGGGTTTAAAAGGAAGGAAGCAGGAAAAGAAAAATCTCACCCTACCACTATCAAGGCACTGCATGTATCTGGTTTTGCACACAGCTTCTGGTTAGCAGCTTTTTCTTTCTGATAGTGAGTTAATCAGCTAATGTTTTTATGAGCACAAAACCAATAAAATGGTGTGGGGGAAAATGACAATAAATTACAATAAAAATCCCTTATTTGCTTTAGATGTGCTTATATATCTACTAAATCCTTCTTGCTCTGCCCAGAAAAGACCTTTCTGCACTGAGTTTCAGATGGCAATACCAGCACACAATCCTACATATCTGCTGTTTGTGTCAACATCCTTCTGCAGGTTGTGCATCCTTTAGGATGCTGCTGCATTGCTGTGCAGTGGCTCAGAGAACATGCAGCTCTTGGGTTATTTTGGCTGAGGCTTCTGGAGGATCAATAGGCTGAGGAGCTTTGCAGAGAGCACTGAAGTGATGCTCAATGATTTGCATAAGCAACATATGTTTTATATTATCAACATCCCCTTTGTATTCCAATTGCATGTCAGTACTGGTAGAGCCTACTGATGCAAAGACCAGCTCCAGCTCTGAAGCTTGGGACAATAACAAAATAACCTGCTATTTGTTTATGTTAGTAATAAAATCTACCATCAACTACTATTTGATTATGGCCTTGAAAAGAAAACCAGCCAAAGGAAACCTCCTCAGTGAACAGGAGATGAAGGAAGTGGACGGGTTGACTGTGGATTTTCTAAATCTAGTCCAAGAAGCTGATGATTATACTTCAAGTTTTCAATTATTTTAGACCTAAGCTTTCCAAAAGACTGCTTGGAGGACTAAGAGAGAGAGATTGTATCATTTGCTTTGTCTCTGGATAAAGGCTTTGAGAGATGGTGCAGAGCCAAACACTACAATTACAATTTTCCTGAATCCATCAGAAGCAGCCAAGGAGCAAGGGCATTTGCACTGCCTCAGCACAACAGGGTCTCCCACTTACTGTCTTTCCTGGGCATCCATCCCTGCTTTTCCTGTGCCCCTGTCTCTACTCCTTCTGCCACATGGTCAGCTGTGTGCATTGGGGCTGGAAGAATGTGTGCCCTTGTACTGTACTACAAAGCCATCTGGGGGACTGCAACTGCATCTGCATAATCACCAGATAGTTCTTAACAGAGATTTGTGCTACTGCAACTGTAGGCATGGTAAATGGGAAGAGATCAAAGGTACATTTTGCACACAATCAGTTCTTACATGTTAAGGTTACATTTCTGAGATAGAAAAAAGCTGGTTTATAGAGCACACCTTGACAGTCAATTCCAACTCCTGGCATCAGTTCCCCAGTATCTCCACCACTGGTGAGCATGTGAAGGTAGTGCTGCCTCACCCAAATATGGATTTTTCCACAGAGCATTCCAGTAACACCACAGACTCAGGTGTAAGACTTCCAAAATAGGGGCCCAATTCATTACCATGCCCTGTTCAATTAAATCTTCCTGATTATTTTCACACATTTTGCAAGGGTTGTTTCTTTCCTGCTGCATGAAACAGAAAAGCTCCTAATATGTTCCTGAAATGCCTTGTGAAGTTAATGTGACTTATACTCTGTCACCAAGAGAATGATACTTGAATGACAGAACTTTTTTTTCCTCTAAGTTTCTTAATATTCAGTTCTCATATGGCATAAGGGAGTAAACTCTCAATTACACAAAGGCAAATACCAAGAAATTTGTCAAAGCCAAGAGAGTTATTCTGGACACCTGAGTAATTTCTCCCTTGTTATGATTCAGTCTCCAACATCCACTCTGAATATCTTTAATAACTGTTTGCTATTCACCTATGTTTTTGTCTCTCTTATAATTCTTTTCTCCATGTTTCACAAATATGTGGAGTCAATTTTTTTCAGATGATACTGTTTCCCCAACTTGGCTTCCCTATGAATAACCTCCATCATCACTATGCTACTTTTGCTCAAATGTTTCATTTTTAACAATAAACATCTATCCCAGATGTCTTATTTTCAGCTTCATTAAGCATTTTACAAGTTCATCCTGAGTCATGTCAATATTTACCTTGGATGTGGTTCTGTATCCTTTCATTTCTAAGACCAGAATTCTCCAGACAAGCTTATTGCTCCTGGCTTGACTTCTACGAGTCACAGCTTAAAACTTTTTTTTGATGTATTAAACAAAATGCAAATTTACCCAGCCATTCACTTTGCTGTGTGCTGCCAGCTATGCCTATTCCAAACATCTCTGAGATGATTCACTTCAACTTCTGTGTACACACGGGCTCCAAACCTGCGCTCAGTTACTGTGAGGTAATTTCAAAGCCATGTAACAACAGCAATTAGCAGAAGTAAAAGCAGAAACCAGATATCAACCTTTTGGGCACAGAACCACAACAGACCATTTCCACTGAACTTCTGCATTGTAGAAAAATGTGTCAGGAAACAGAAGGAGTTTCCAGGCCCTGCAGGGTTGTGTTGGCCTTCACTGTACAAAGCTGGATGTTCCTCTGAGAGATGGGACTGTGCTTCCTCACTCCAGCTCTCTCCCCTGCTCCTGAGCAGCAAGGCTGACTTGTTCTGAGCCTTGCAAGGGACACCTTAGGCATCTCAGCATGCTCATCCCCAAGCAGTCCTGAGCTGCTGCCCACAGCCATCCCCACCCAGGCTGCTCCTCACTGTTATCAGAGCTCCTCATGCTTGCTTCAGGGAAGTTCTGTATGTACAAGACCACAGGGAGAAAAAGTTTGATAAGCAGAATTTTCTCGATAATTTTCTGAATCTTTACACTGAGTTTACTTCAGGTCCTGTTTCAAAGCAGTAGGAAAAAAAAAGGTAATTTGGAGTTCAATATATTTATATTTTAGATCCACATACTGCCCTGGAATATAACATTTTGAATTTTATATTGGAAATAAAAAATCAAAGGTGTCAAGCTGGGAAAGTGCTCTGAAACTAACAAAGGACTTAATGTGGGATTGTTTGAAGTCATATGTTGTTCCTGACTGTATTTAAAATATGTCCTTTCAGTTTGAAATGCCTTTGTCACTCACTGAAATCAGCAGTGCAGACTGCTGGGGCAGCTGGGCATGCATCACAAAGGGATACACATGGAAAAAAACACTCAGAGTTTTGGACACCTACAAAGTAAATATTATACTTGTGCCATCAAGCCACATTTGTCAAGAGGTGTCAACATGGCCTAGAGAAGCAGTGAGCCACATTCTTGTAAGAGGGGAGGCAATTTCACATGTTTACAAACCTTCCTGAGCTAGGTACTTGTAGAAGCAGGTCAAGGAGATGGCTTTAGATGGTGTGTCAGTTTTCATCAGAAATCCAGGATACTGAGCTGAGTTCACAGTGCAACCATGTCAGTGATGGCCACACATCACTATGTGGCAGATACTTGGGGCTAGTTTAGAAATCCCTTGCTTGGGTGCTTTGGCAATAGCAGCTCAAGTAAATAATTGCTGTAGCCAGCCCACATGCTGTTGCCAGCATCCCAGAAAGAGCATGTCAACACAGTGAAATGAAGGTAATATTTCTGTGCACCCCTGACCCCACTCCAGCTCACACACTGCTCCCCTGTGCTTTGACCCAAAAGGCTATACTGCTGACGGGACAGCTGAGGGTTTATTTGGTTTGGAAAGAATTTTCTCAGCTCTAAAGCAGAGGTGATAGTTTTCCTCATTTGGACTAAGCAAGAATCAGAGAGATGAGCTTGAAAAAGGGCTATTTAAATTCCCTTCTCTGACCTATGTCACCTGTACATTCACTCCAGTGAGAAAAAATCAGCCTGAGGGACCACTGTCTTCCACAAACACACGGAGCCAGAAGATAAAAGGGAATGGTTGGCTACTAGATTAAATGCAAGTTTCATATTAATGATCACTTACAGAGACCTAGTAAATGATTCTGTGCAAAGCATTGTCAGAGGTTTTGCTCTGCCATTTTTGTTTTGCATGTATATTTAGGAGCTTTTTCCCCTTAGAGAATAATGTTCAGGTTTTAAAATTTATATTAATGTGTCACTACATTAATCTGTCACTCATTGAAAGGACTTTTTTTTTTAATAAAGTGTAGTTTTTTCTTTTTCATGTGCTGCTATATCAGAATGGAGTATTTAGGATAAGGCCTTTCCACAGCAGTGCTGCACAGGATGGGAAGACATGTAGGAAGAGAATGATCTCTTTTGACCCAAACAACTAATCAGAGTTTTAGCAGTTCTATATTTACCCTGGCTGGATACTGCCAAAGGGTCTTCACTGCAAATCTCTCTGCTTCCTTTCCAAAGAGCCCACAAGGGACGGAGGTTTTCCTGATAGACCCCCTCCCCCCCCGACCAAAGCTCTCAGGGTGGGAGTTTGTTTCGGGTTTTTGTTGGTTTGGTTTTTTTTTTCATCTCTATTTGGCCTGGTGTGCTACTCTGAAAAAAATTATTCATTGCTTCCTTGAGAGCAAAGGTCTTTGACAGGCTGTGCTGGGCACCATCAGGTATCCTCTCCCAGCTCTCCATCCCACCTTCCAGCCAGAGGGTACCCCAGGCAGCAAGTACCCACCTCCACCTCCCTGTCTGGTGTGGCTGTGAAAATTCCCCTGCAAGGTGCAGCCTGACCTTCTACCTCTGCCTGGAATATGGACATGCTGAGTGTGCTCTACCTCATGACCCAGCTGAAATGACACTAGGTTACTGTGCCCTGATCAATCAGTGTGTTTGCTTGCTCTCCTTCACGCTTAGCCTGTATACCTTCAGTTATTGTTATCCCATTATCTTCAATTGGCTTTTTTCTTCACATCAAAATACCAGTAACTTTTCCCTGCTGCTAAATATGAGCACTTTATTTTCTAACACACTTGAGCTTTACACGTAGTATTTCACACAAGACCCATGATTTCAGTGCTGATTGCAAGATAGAGCCGTGCTATTCCACCTGTTTGAGTTCTGTTTTCTCTGCAGCTCCAGGAATTTCCATTTCACTCATCTTCACTCCCATCAGCCATCCTGCATTTAGCCATATGATTGCTTTCCTCCTAGAACAGAGGGGACAATCAGACTGCAGGTCATACCTAGATTATCTTTAATCGCTGCTCAGCTTTGCTGACTGCAATCTCATTTCTTCTTTCAGAAAGAGAGAAAAACCCGCAATTAAAAGACAGGGAGTCTTTTCATAGATACTTCTAAATTGGTCACAGGAAAAAGGTTCAAGGCTCAATTCTTACTACTAGTCTCTCCAGTGCAAACACAGGGTGACTCCAGTAAAACCAGTGGGACTGCAATGGTGTAGCCAAGATCCAGATCAAGAGAGACATTTGGAAATAGGCTATTCTGAGCATTTATTTTTATTAGACATCTCATCTCCTGCTTTATCAGTAATTTTGAAGGTTTACTGTATTCAAGTAGTAGCAGGAGTTCAGATTATGAACTTTGATTGCTCATAGCTTTTTCAAGATTTTTAATAAAGTTTCAAAAGGTTCCCTTCTATCAAAGAATGTCCCCTTTGATTAATCAATTGAATTTGACTTTTTCCTCATGCAGAATACAAACCAGTGTACTCCGCCAGTTGTTTACAGGCAGCTTCATGGCATACAATACAATAGAACAATTATTTTCTAAGTAAAAGAACTGTGATCAGAAATGTTAATAAACTGCTCAATAGTGCAGAATCTTTTGCTTCCTCAAAAAAAAAAAAAAGCCACACAATAAAGACATATCAGGCTATTTTTAATATAATCTGCATACTTTCCATATAACATAGTCAATGAAACAGAGTTTTCTTAAATGGCCTTCTTCACATTTACAGCTGTAACAGCTGCAGTAGCAGCTCTGTCAGGCTTGATTTTATTCAGTGTGCAGGATCAACGTAAAATCTAGGCTGAAAATAAAGGGAGCAAATGCCCTCCTGACTTTCAAGAGAATGATTTTGGTCCAAGAGTATTTCTGGCCACAACTCACTTTCAAAAGCAACTTTGTCATTGTGCCTGGCCTAGTCCCAGTAAGTACTATTATGATTTGTTACATTTTCTATAGAACCAGGAGACCATTTATTAGCCCCAAGGTATTGTATTGAGCTTCAATTATGTAATAGGCATTATTCCACTGAATATCCAAAGCTTTGTAAGAAAGTTTTAGTTCTGGAAAGAAAGGTACAAGGTTCTCAAACGATTTTGAGGAAGATCAAACTCCCCCAATTTTTTTGCTAGTTGAAAGAGGAAAGGTTCCTTCTTGATAGAAATCATGAATAATGTGAATAGATTTTTTTTTCTAAAGAAAAAAACCTCCTTTTTCTTTGAAAACCATTGATAGCTTGGGATTCAAGCAAAAAAAGAATAAAAGAAGAAATAATAGTTCATTGCTAGGAAAGAACATGATAGGTATGCTGCCAAATTAGTGAGATTTTGATATAATTAAAAAAACTGAGGAGTGTATATGTGATTTTCCTGCTTATGAGTTAGGAATGGGGGTCTCTCCCACACGTGGCAGAGGAGGGGAAGGTCCTCAGCCTTTCTAAGGCCCCCTTGGGGCTGAGTTTGCAGCTGGTGCATGATGCCCCCAGCCCAACTGCCTGTTGAGTGCTCTTCATGATTCAACAACACAGACTACTGACACCTCATCAAATCCCAAGCCATCTGCATCTCCCAGATTAAGTGCCATTGAATAACTGGTTAACTGGTTATCTGACTGCCATAAAATAACTAATAACCAGTTAACTAGCATCACCCTTCTTCTATCGTCCCTTAGAGTTTGTTTAAAAAAATCCATAGATTTTAAAAAGCACTGACACCTAAATAAAAATTGATCAGCTCCAAGCAATTTCACCCTTCACAAGCCATTTTACATAATTGGAGGCTTCAGCTCCCAGCTCTCAGAGGCTTCTCCAGCTCTCAATCATGTGTGAATTTTCCTCTGCTCTCTCTCAACAGCGAAACACAATAGTTCCTGTAACCAGTAGGTGAAAGTCAGTCCAGCTGTTGCCTCTGATTTTTCACTTTTTAAAATTAATATCAAATACCCTGCCATACAATGCAAATACAACACATACATGCAACAGCTGCTCTGCTTTGAAGTAGCAAAGCCAGCTACTCCAAGGTATTCTCAGGAAACAGAAAAGCAATGTTATCGAGGCTGACAGATTTCTGAAATTAACGGACGCTCGGTTTAACTGGTATCTTAGTAAAATGAGTCTATGCCAGCTGAGAAGAAAGTAGAAAGTAAATCAACAAGCTTTTTCCCAGAAATACTTCAGTATCTCAAAAACTCACCAGTGGGAATGTGCTGCCAAGGTTGCTCCCCGACCCATTACAAACCCAACCAATCCAAAACACCACTGCTATGACTGGGTGAGACTACAGCTTTCACATAAGTGTGCTTGAATCTGTGAGAGCAAGGGAGAAAGAAGGTGATGGATAATGAATTTTAACCATAACCATGCCATCCTGTGGTTATTTTTGCAGTACAAATGAGTTACATAGGGATGAGCTGCATTTGCATTTCATTCACCAATTCCACTCAGAGAAGCAGTTAAGCACCCTTATTTTTCACAGTAAGACAAAAGAAGTTGGATTCTCAGTTTATCTAAACAAACATGAGCTGAAGTAAAATGTATGTGCAAGTAGCACATTTATTGCATCAAGGGAAATAAAGCATCAAGCCAGAACCTGATCTTGTTTGCTGCTATGTAAATGATGAGTAAGTCCACTAGGGTCAGCAGAGCAGTGGAGTCACATGAGTCACAGCACAGTGCTCTTTGGAAAGATTGCTCCATGGCTAAAAATACCACTACAGTTGCTTCAAGAAAAGCTCTGTGTCAGCTTTTAATAAATGCTGGCAGTGACGCTGAGCTCTGGGCACTCATAAAGCCAAAAGAATGAACAGGAATTAACAAGTGGCCTTAAAAACATATTGAAGAGAATGGAAGTTCTGTCTGTGCAAGAACTGAAGAATCAGACCTTTGGTAGTGAAAATCATGACTTAACTTTTCCACCACATACATTTCCATCTTTCAAGTGGGTCTGGGGGTAAAAAAAAAGTAGAAAAGACACTAAACAGATCAAGTTTGTGCAAGTTACCACTCAGCTCTGTGAAAACATGAGGTTTGTTTTGCTGTATTTTTACCAGGCTTGTCCCAGTAAATGATGACTTGCTCCTCCCAGGGAATTGCAATAATGAATCTACTGTTTTCAGTGAGTATGGACAGCCACACCGACAGAAGCCAATCCAACACTACATCCCTTGTGATTAAGCAGAACCGTATTTCCAATTAATACTTTTATATCTGACACACACAGTGCTGAATCTGGAAAAATAATAGCTCAATAAACTATAAAAGAAATGCCCTTTGATCTTCTCTTTTTTTCGGTGGAGCCATAATTTAGTGCTATTACAACAGTAGTTTCAAGTAACCAAAATTGTTTATCAAGTGTATGTTTCAAATGTATTCTGTATCAACAAAGTCCTGAATTAGAAGAGATTTCATAATTCTTTATGAATTGCTCTCCTACCCAGTCTTCCCCACTGGAAGCCTGATTAAATGAGTATTATTTCTTCTTAAGTGGTTTTACAGGTCGTTTATCTTAGATTTATGAGTATCATCCTACTTTAGAAGGTATTAGACAGCTTTAAGGTTTGACACATATTCTCTAAATCATTTACAGTGCTCTCCATTTGCACTAGACGATTGGTAATCTTCTCAATATTAGGTTTTATTGACAATGCACCATATAGAGTCCTTATTATATGGTAATGATTTAAGACGGGTGCAGGATTGGGAACTAATAAATCCAAAAGCTCATTTTTGATTGTTGACAGAGAGCTGAGGAATAATGTGCATCCATCTAAATCACTCTGTTTCTCAATACTATCACATACACACGTTTAACTTACTCAGAACGCAATGCAGGGATGTGCAAACAGATCCAGTTCTTGCTTTGAGCCTGATGGATTCATGCTTAAAACTGCTTTTATTCAGAGAAAACCCCCAGCAGAAGTGAGGTTCCCCCACGGTTTGGAAGCACCAGCTGCCACCTTTCAGCATGTGGGAGGAGCAGGGGTTCATCCCAGCTGCCACAGCCCCAGCCCAGCTCTGTCACACATGATTCACACCACGATAAATATGCCTAGCAAGATCAAGAAGCATTTTGTCTGAGTAGGGAGTTAGTAAATCTGAGATCACGGGCTTAAAAATCATCCTCATAATTTATATTTGGGAGACAGTATTGAAAGCTGACATATATAACAAAGACATACCTTCATGTAGCCCTACATAATAATAATTTCACAGAAATACAGGCATTGATAGTAACAGAATTCACTTGAATAATTGATTTCCTTACTTCAATAGAAGATCAGCCCCCATATCTATATTACTCAAAGAAAATTAGAATAGAAGATAAAAAAATAAAGTGAGAGACTTTGGCAGCAAATGAACATCTTTCCACTGAGTTCTACAGAATTAAAGTCATCTGCAACCCTCTAATCCAAAGGTATGTCTTTGAAATGCAGTCAGGAGATCTGTATCAGTCCTGTTTCTGTAGTATGTCACTGAAAATGGTTTCTGGGGCATCAGAGCTGCATGATCCAGCAATTTGTTAAGTTGAAATGTGACCAAAAAAAAATGGCTGGAATGACCTCAGAGCAAAACCAACACAAAAATCTGCATCCCTCTTTTATCCAGACAGATGCTGGGTTAGAAAATTCTAGTGAAAAATTTGGGTTAGTGGCAAAACTGCCCTGTGACAATTGCATATTGGAATTGTCAGCAGCACGGAAGTACAGGAAAGGGGTGTCTTCCTCTCACCTTGCTCATTCAGAAAACACCCCAAAATCCTAACTCGGGCTAGAGGGCTCTCAGGCTCTCTCTGCTGTTTACAAATGAGTCAGTAACAGAGGAAGTGGTGCTACTAAACACTGAGCCCCCCAAGCTCCAATCAATGTAAAACACCTTGTTTTAAGCAAAGCATTGCTGTTACCTTGCCTTACTTCGGCAAGAGCAGGTACAGATTTACGGGGAAAAATAAGGAGAAAAATAAACTAAAACCAATATCCTCCCAAATCAGGGCTCCCCAGGGCCATATACACACTTCTGCCCTCATCATAGGGGAGCATATACAGCCCCCCTCCCCTACCCATTAGCAGGCCATTTTCTAACACACTGTCAAACAGCAGAATTATCACAAGTTTCGTTTTTCTTACCAGTGGAACTAACTGCATTCTGAAATGTGATATCTACATATTTTTAAGCTTGTTTCATTCACTCAGTTCCTGAACTAGCAAAATATAACAATCTTCAACATCTCCCTGCCATGAGTGAAATTTCTTTTACTACTGGAAAGAGCAGAGAAGGTCAAGAAGGCTTGGGAAAATTTGTTAGCATGATCTGTAATGTGAATTTGGCAGAAAAGAAATTCAGGACATTTCTTTGGAAAACAATCAAAGGGCAAAGTTTCCTTTCAGAGTTGCATGGTAATTCACGACTTACATGCTCCAAGGAAACTTGTTGCTCTGATGATTAGAACAGCAAACTATATGCTGTCTGCCTGACAGACCAAAGATGGTCATTTTACCTCCCTTTGTCAGTATCATTCTGTTTAGGCAGGGCCACTTGTGTGTCCCTTGACACCCAGATGAAGACTGAATGATGCATCACTGCTCAGGAGGGTTAATCCAAGTTAGATATGGCACAAAAAGAAGTGATAAACAGTAACAGTGCATACCTTCTGTCTGGGTCTTATAGAGACTGACAGATGCTTTCTCTTACCTGGATCTCAGCTGCTCCTGCTGTACACAAAAAGCCAGTGTCTTCCTGGTTATCCACTCTCAAGACACAAGCCACTGATATAGCTGAGGATCTTGAAAGCCACTGAGCTGAGGAAATTTGAGCCTTCAGTATCCACTTGTTATAAATGCAATGGCAAAATAGGGTTAATACAAAAAGCGATTTATTATAAAACAATTTTAATCACAAACAACGAGAGAAAAAAAACCACAATAAATCAGCACAGCACTGGGTGGACAGGGAGACGTCTATACCCAGAGGTACAGATTTACCCAAATCCACGCTCGAGGGTTCTCTGGCCTGGGTTTTTATAGGGATTTTGTGTCCTGAGGCCAAATTCCAGGCAGGCACCATTCACCAAGGGTCCTTGATTGTTGGATGAATTGATTTCCTGGCGTTGGAGAATAGAGTCAAATAGACGTCCGGGCAGAGTCTCCTCATATGTAAAGAAGTTCTGAGTGTTCCTTGATTTCATTTTGGTTCGGGCCATCTGGATGGGATGGTTGGATCCGGGTTGGAGCTGATGGATATCTCGGCTGGACTTTTCCCTTTGTCAGCCTGATTGCTTCCCCCAACAGTGGCCTGCAAGGCGGGGTGTTCAGGTCCGGTGATGAGTATCTCGTCTGAGCTCATCTCTTTGTCAGCCTGATGGCCCGTGTCCTGCTCATTCTTTTCTGTTGATGGGCGCCGGCTAGGATCGTTATCTCTCGAATGGGAATTCGCGACTAGATCTGGGAAGGACTTGTTGGCCACACTGTATTTTATATTTTATATTATTATAGCTACAAATATATTTATTTAGACCTCTACGAATTTTTATTCATAAGTTCATTTATCACACACTGCAACTGGAATTCATCAACAACACAAAAATGACAGTGTGGAACTTATTGCCATTGAATAACATGGTGGGCAGGAGCACAGCTGAGGTCAAAAAAGGACTAGACAAACTCTATGGGAACTGAATTAGCTGGGATAGATACTACCTTGGACCAGGTTCCTAACACGGAGGGAATAAACCTAAAGCCTTGGGAGGTGGAGTGCTGGGAGGATGCTAGTGGAGTCATTCCATAATAGGTCATGTCCCCGGTCTGCGTTAGTGATTGGATCCCTGCCCTCAGGTACCCATATGTAATTCTAGGTTAACCACACCCCCAGGTCTTTGGAAGCAGCCCCTTGGACCACGTGGTCCCTGTAAACATTAAAATCTATCTTTGGGCACTCCATCGTACCTGTCCCAATTTATTCTGCCAAGCTCAACCCAGCCGAACTGGGAAAGAGAGGTCTCAGAACCCCACTGTGACATCTGGCATTCGAACAGGGACCTCCTCATATTGAGACCTCTAGGGGACTCGCTTTTGCTGGGTCTTGGCAAACCAATAGGACTCTGCTCTGGTGTAAGTCACACCTGACGCAGAAGCAAGCAGCCATGGGAGGAGGACAACCATCTGTCTCAGAGGACTCATGCATGGAACGCAAGTGAGCAGAGAAAGGGGACACCTTCCCATCGCACCTACCAACTAGGAGGGTACATCCACCCTGATCCCAGTTTAGCAAGATGGGACTAAGACTGTCCAATTTAGAACAGGACATATATGGACAATTTAAAGAACTTTTAGCAGACCATGGGAAGGACGTTAAAAAACACAAGCTCAAAACCCTGCTAAAATGGGTCTTGCAAAACTTCCTGGCCATCCTGCACCAGCCACCTCCTCAGTGCATCCCCAGCCACTGGCAATCCGCACAGTGCTGCAGGAGACCGCTCAGACTGTGTTATCTTTTCCGTGGATTTTTGAGATTCAGGGGTGTTATAAATGGATGACCAATTTGATCAATAAAAAGAATTTATTCCATAATTAAAATAAAATTGTAAAAGCCACAAGCAAAAAAATCAGATCGGCACTGAAACAGGCTAACAGTTCCTGGTGAGATGGGGGAGGGGGCTGTCTGTCACCACTCTACCGTGTTTCACAAAATGTGACTATCACAAGGTCCTTTTTATATGTTCCCAGGCTTTTCGGGGGTCCTTTGCCTTCTTCTGTTGGTCTTGTCTTCTTTTGCATGTTGGTACATGTTCCTCTCCTTATCGTGGTGCCTGACAAAGCCCTTGGAATACACTTTTTACAGACAAATATTCATGCTGGTTTTGGTGCTTATCACTGTAATCTCGTCAGATGAAGATTTCCTGGAAATACACTTTTTGTAAACAAATATTCATACTAGGATTTTTATCAGACAAGATTACTATAACTTTAGCACGAATTTATTCATGCCACGTATCACAAGTTGGAATCAGGCTGTGTGACTTAACAACGAGGGACCTGCAAGCCTCTTGCTTGTTGCCTGTCTTCCACGTGATTCTCGACACCCTTAAAGCCGAAGAGATGAAGTGGCGAAATTCCAACTCCACCTCCTAACCCCAGTATGCTTCCAACCCTTCTAACTCTGGAATAAGAACACAACAGTAAAAATCACCATGTACACTGGAGCTCGTGCAATTTGCAACTCCAGTCCTTTCGTGTTCTCATCCTTCTTGCCCCTCGGACTGCCCTGGAGTGGAACTGGGGGCTGAAAAGGCTTTTTTGGAGGAAAAAGCAGTTTTGCCCTTTTACTCTACTACTATTTGTTTCTTTCTGCCTTCTAAACCGAAAGTTCAAGACGGCTCTGGCCACGCTATCTGCAACCCTTAACCCCCCTCCCTGTCCCTCTCCTCTCCCCCAGTACCTTTGATGACCCATCCTCCCCCCTATTCACTTGAAACAACGCCAGCTAAGGACCCTGCTCCTTCTCTGCAATACACTCCAGCCACAATGTCTCAGGCTTCCTCACCTAACCCCACCTCTGGCTTCCCCATTCCCCGTGCCCCGGGTCACGCTCCTGCTCTGTCCCTGCCCGCCCTTGTGGCAGGCTGCACAAGGCCTGCTCCGCCCCTGCCAGCTCCTCTGCTCCACCCTCGCCCACGATGCTTCTCCCGCTCAGGGTGGGCTGTGCCACACCTGCTTTGCCCCTGTCCACAGCCCCCGCTCCGCCCCCCGCCACCCCTTCCACCTCAGGCTGCTCACCGACAGCGAGCCGTGGCCGGTGGCCACCGTGCCGGGACCAGGGGACCTCAGCCAGGGATAGATGGTGACCATCTCCCCCTTTCAGCGGCACGACTTTGCTGTCACGGGGCACTGCCGCTGCCGCTCGGGGGGGACGGCGTGGCCCAATCCGTGCCGCTCCAGCCAGCCACCA